TGCTACCAGAGCTCCCAGACTGTGAACATATAGAAAGGAGCAACTACAACACTTGAAGAGGCATTAACCACTTCCAGGTGTGGACTAATGTGTTTATGGATAGTCACAATATAGGATGCTGTCAAACCTCTTTGGTGCCCCCCAAACAAAATCATCCTCCCAATCCCATGAACCAAAAGAAACCAAACTCACTGCTGTTGAGGCGGATCCAACTCATAGCAACCCCTCCTTGGGTTTCTGAAATGGTATCTCTACAGAAATAGATTGCCCAACCTTCCTTCTGAGAAGTGGCTGGTGGGTTTGAACCACCAGTCTTCTGGTTAACAGTCAAATGCCTTAGGCACTACACCACCAGATCTCTCCATGAGGTATCCCTTTTATCATTATTTTTCATGCATTAATTTGCGTGTTCTGCTGCTCTTTCTGAAGAACAAAGGGTTCAGCCCCCTCCCCACAGTTGCTGCTGTCCAAGGGGTGTGACAGCTTGAAGACTGCTAAAGAAGAGATACCAAGGATTACAAAGGGCATCTTTTAGTCCAAAGTGGTAATGGGAACAAGAACCTTCTCTACCTTGCAGGTCAGCTTTGGTCAACGCAACTTTGTTAGCAAAAGAACAGGAAAAGCGAAAACAATAACCAGAGGTTAGTAAGAGGCAGAGTAAACCAGGGTAACATTATAGAAATGAAAATGCAATTGGCATAACCAACATCACTCAAACAGACATTTGATATGCTCCACAGGTTCACCAGAGACAGCACAGACAGGGGCACGCAGACTGGGGCCAGAGCGGGCCTCCTCAAAGCCAAGTCAGCAGAGCAGGGCCAGGGAAACATTGAACTTGACAAAGCACAAGCAATGGGTAACAAAAGCCTTCCCACATTCACACAGCCAACCCCAAGGCATATGGTCCAGAAAAATGATTTTCTGTCAGTCAGGATAAACATCAAGAAGTAAGGATAGCACATGGTCAGACAGAAAGACACGTGTACAGAGTCAGACAGAGCCCACAAAATTAATTCCAAACCTATAGGCATTGGAATGGAACAGTCATTTGGGAGCATTCCTTTAAATGCCACCAAGGAATGTGGCACTAGAATCAAACATTTATATAAATATGATTTGGAAATGCCAAACAGCTCATTTTGTTTAATTTGTACAAATATAGCCAAACCAAAATGACAGTGGGCAAAAAGGCATCAAACCAATGTCTTTTTTATTTAGTCATGCCAGTCTCCAAATGAACCACGTGTATTTCTCTCAGATGTTTACCATCTGGAATTTTGAAATAGCATTTATGGCCAATTCATGTCTTGGTCTCTTCATAAAAGCTGGTCTCAAAATGGGAAGAGATGTTACCAGTCAGGTATTAAATCAGTCATTATTAAAATATCCTTAGCCCAAACTAAGAAGCTACAAGTTGTAGCTAGTTGTTGACTAGGAGTTGCCTAGAAACTACACTTTATAAATTACATACTCAGCATACATTAGGGACATAAAATCAAAACCTAGTTCAAGATTTTTTTTTTTTTTTTTTAACTAAAAGCGATTGAGAGCCAAAGAAAAGTGGATTACTATGTTTATTTTTTTTTTATTCTTTGTATTTAATTTTATCTGCATCATGGGCCAGATATAAGAGGGAAAATGATACCTTTACTGCTTTGAGACCTTGAAGGGTCATTACCAATGACTTTGATAAGAACATGAACTATATCCTGGGAGGCATGTGAGAATAAATAAAATACATTCACCATCTTAAAGAGATCCAGGACTCAGTTCTTAGTAATGAAAACATATCCCCTACCTGAGATTATTCTACATATATCAAACCCAAAAACTCCACTGTTTTGAGCTGATTCCAACTCATAGTGAATTTGTAAGACAGAGTAGAATTGTCCCATAGGGTTTTGAAGGTTGTAAATCTTTACGGGAGCAAAATGCCACATCTTTCTTTCACAGAGTGGCTGGAAGGTTAGAACCATCTATCTTTTGGTTAGTAGCCAAGAGTTTTAATCACTGCACGACCAGCTCCTGTTCTATACATAGAAATGATAAATCAAGAAATGTGTTCCACTTCCAATGGTTCTCATAAAATCTAAGGCCCAAAAGCCTTTTTGGGGTGACATGCTAGGTTACACATGTATGAAAGATTCACAATGCCAGTGGCATCACTGCAGATTCTCCAAGGTTTGTGCCCTTCTTTTCCTCCCCACAATTTTCTACAGATTCATCTCCATGGAACTCTAAAAAGCTCCTGGGATCTTTTACAAGGGCTTTTTTTGACAATGGTGCAAACTTCCAAAGACAGTAATTTATGCCTTAACCTACTTTTTGGCCATTTTTCGTGGTCACTTAGGCTAATTATCCAAGTCATTTGTGTACAATAAACAAGGGTCTTCTTCCCTCAGCACTCATCTTCCACTTCATCCCACCCGGTGGGGCAGTCATAATGCTTGGTGGGTAACCATCATAATTATCTCCATGGCAATAGAGTGCAGTGTTATTAGGCCCATGGGACTTGCCATAGATTCTAACAGTAGAGCCATCAGGTCACAATATCCGGCTTTGAACAATCATCCATGCTCAAAGGAGGGTTGGAACCCACCCTAATGCATGTGATGAGTCATAGCAAAGTGCACATAGAGCTGGAGATACGGAGAAGAACATCTCCCCCAATTTCATGGGTAATTTCCTGTTGTTAATGCTCTTACTGCTTTTCTTAAAACTCTTACTTAGGGTCTTTCCGTCCTTGAGACCATATTTTTAAAAGTTAGTTAGATTAGACCTTCTTTCAATCCAATGCTAAAGTTGTAGTTTTTCACACCACATTTTTTATATTCTATAGAATTGTGTTTCCAATATAGTAGCCATAGTCATATGCAACTATTATGAACTTTAAATATGTGTAGTATGAATTGAAATGTTCTGAAAGTACTCAGGTACAACTTGATTTTGAAGGCTTAACATGAAAAAAGGAAAATATTTTACTAATAATTTTTCACATTAATTATATGAAGGAAACAATAATATTTGTATATATATGGTTATGTTAAAATAAAGACTAAAATGAATTTTACTTATTATTTTACATCTTTTTTTTTTAAATATGGCTATTAGAAAATTTAAAATTACTTATGTGACTCAAGTTAGATTTCAACTCTATAACTTTGCTAGAATGTTAAGTGGATGATTCTTGTTTGATTTTAAATATAAGAACCGATAGCATGACATTTCCCATTTTAAACATTGCCTCATATATTTTGATATGTGCTTATATAATATGATTTAACTTAATATTATTAATTATTCCAGAGTAACTAAAATTATATATATATTGTCATTCTACAATATTCTAGACTAAGATACTCAATTTAATTCTAAATGCTGCATCTATGTCAGGATTTCCCTTGAATACTTGAAAGAATTAACACCAGTCCAATGCAACCAAAAATCTTGAATTGAAGAAAAGTGTAAGTTTCCAGAAGCAAAAAGGAAAGTGGAAAATTCCCACCCTTCATCACAACCACACACATACATAGACACACACATATATTTGGCCAACAGAATTTAAGAAATATTTATAGCTAAGGGAAAAATGGAGTGGGTTATAGGGATGATCAATCTTGTTGCTAGGGGAACATAGGAAACTGACTCTTAGGCAAAGGGGAAAGAGTTCTGTAACTAGAAAACAACCTAAGAATCTGATGAGAAGTTTTTATAAAAATGTGTTTTAAAGTAGTGACAAACCTAAGTGGGAACTGGTTAAGAGCAGGAGTGATAAATGAAATTGAACACTTAGGAAAAGATGAATGAACAGGTTTGATGTGGTAAATTAACAAGAAACACAAGAAAGCACAATTTATTGCACAAACAAAGGACCACGATGCTCAACCAGACAAAAGAATACATAGATCCCTGTGACTGGTCAAGATCCAAACTCTTTTGTCTCTCAAATTCATTAAGACTCACTTTTCAGCCAGCCCAGGGCTGAAGGGAATTTGAGAGCCTTGTTAGGGAAGGCTGAATGTATTCACCACCACTCTCTGCTGGATAAAATTAAATTGCTTTTATAGTAAATATCTACTGAGCTCAGAAAAACCTGTAAAATTATGTTAATACCTCCAAAGACAGCCAATCATTTACAGAAACAGAAAGGCTAAACACAGTTTGCTGTGCTTCATGGGTGGATGTGTTATCAGATGTCTCAAGTGAGATAATACCTGTAAACAAAAATCCTACTTCTTATTGACTACCGACTAGGTACCTGGCATTTTATATTTATGTCTGATTTATATACATTACCTTTCAAGCTAAGCTTTATCGACCCATTTTACAGGTGAGAAAAATGTAGCTCAAAGAGATTAAATAATTTGATAAATTCCACATAGCTAATAAGAGCTACACTCTGAACCTGAATCCAGGTCTTTCTAATTCCAAAGGTCAAACTGACCCTCTGCATCACACTAAAGAATTGTCTAACAATGCCCGACATCCAGTAAGTACTCAATAAATGCTAATTCCCTTTCACTATTATGGTATTCTGACATTGTTTCCCTACCTTCTGTTAGATATGTAATGAAGTCACTATTAGCAGAAATGAGAAACATTCTATTAATGGTGACACTCATATGAAAGTGTCTATTTGACTCCCTGTGCATTTAGTTATACATTAAAATATCTATATGAATCCCTCGTGTCCTTTCAGCCATGTGGAAGCAAAGGTACAAGTTGGGAGGAGCCTGATGTCAATGTCTGGATAGGTCCTTTATTGGCAAGTATGTGACACGAGGAAGACATCTGCCAACATACATTCCTGGAGCCTGTGGCACATGTCTTGACATACTCAACCAGTGACGGAAGGGCACTGATGGCAATGTGTTTTCTGAAGGCAAATGAGAATGAGAGAGGACTGGTGGAACCAAGGAAGGAGGCGCCGACAGAGGCAGCAAAGAGGCTTGGTGCTTGCAACAAGGCTGTAGCTTACATTAAAAAAAGGGTTGTACCTTCACAGCCACGCTCTATCTGTCCACTCCGATGGAGAGCATCATTGATGAGGTCTGGCAGACGCCCATTCAGGTCCACTGATGCCAGACAACCCTGAAAGCCATCCCTGGAGGCCACAAGTTTTGGGAGATTGCTGTACATGCCTTGGGCCAGGCCAGCCATGTAGAGATCACCTGAAAAGGAAAGCAAGTCATCAAAGACAGTGAGTAAAGGATGTGGAAACCGTGTCAGTTAAAGACAATGAACTGTAAACTACTTGTTAGATAATGGTAGTGCAGCTGAAAACAAAAATCAAACCAAAATAAAAACAAGTTAAATAATTACTGCGGTTTCTAAATGGTAACTAAATAAATAATTGACTATATATCTTAATTGTCTTTCATTTTACACATCCCATTTCATAAATGTTAATCATTATAGTAATTTTATGAGGCATTACCTCCATTTTGTGAAGAAGTACAGTTTAACAAAAATTTCAACAACAACATTTATTGTTTTCAATATACTTTTACTGATAATATACTGAGGGCTTTACAGACATTATTGCATTAAAACTCCCAACATTCCATAGAAATAATAACTATTATTCTCCTCTATTTTGTGAAATAGTATACTGAAGGAGAACAAGGCTAAGAATTTTACCAGTCACCCAGCTAATCAATGATTAACTCGAGAGTCCAAAGTCTATATCCTTTGCCCTGTATGATGGTCCCTGCATGTGTTGAATTATATAACACTGTGATTCATCACCTCATCACTCTGTCCCAGTACAGCAAGACATTCCAGAGGTTTACAGAGAAAATAAAACATGCCTTGAGTAAACACAGTTTAATTAAATGGTCTAATTAAAAACTCAATAAATCATCGTCAAATAAATTATAGTATGATATCATTCGATACTGATGAAAAAGGATATGCAAGATGTATCAAAAACATATGGTACTTCTGACCTGTAATTAGCTTCTGGAAACAGCCTTTGCAGTGTAAGAAATGCTCTAAGAAGGATCAACTTCTTTATAAGGTTTACCTTTCAGATCCAGGTTTTTGGCACCATTGATAACCTGAGTGACCACCTTGGTATCCACTTTCAGACTGTGGGTGTTACTGTTGTCCCGAGTAATGACGACATTGTGCCATTGGTTGTCATTCAGGGGGCGATCACTGTTGCCTTTGATCACATTGGGACCATTTCCAAGGTCAAAGACATAGTGTATGTACCTAGGAGGGACAACAGCCATCTGATGATTTACAATTCCCTGAAGTGGTTTAATGACAAAAAGTGTGTAACCAACTAAGAGGCCTTCAAATCCCCTTGATAAACTGGCATTATGCAGGAATAACTAAGGCTGGATTTAGGATTACAAAAATAATCAGATCCTATTTTATTAGTTTACAGTCATTCTATACTCATAGAGGCTATATCTTTAACATTACTTTATAAAAAGCCAGCACTAATTAGTAGCACAGGTAGTAAACTAAAAAACTAAAAAAGCTGTGACATTTATTTTCACAGTTAATCATAGACTTGTGTATCGTTGACCATTTTCCAGCATATAAGAGTAAAATGTCTTGAAGAAAGGGCATCTTCTATAATTTTCATGGTTTACGGGTAAGGCAAAATAAATCCATATTTCACTTTTTTGCTATAATTTGATGGTTGCAGATAGTACTGCTGAAGAGATAAATAAAATACCTCCCCATAGACCTCTTTTGCAAAAATAACTTTTAAAGGACTACATTTCATAGTGAAGAACCCACTGCCACCAAGTGGATTCTATCTCACAACTACCCTATAGGACAGAGTGGAACTGCCAGTAGGGTTTCCAAGTCTGTACATCTTTATTAAAGCAGACTGCCTCATCTTTCTCCCACAGAGCAGATGGTGGGTTTGAACTGCCAACGTTTTGGTTAGCAGCCCAATGCATTAACCACAGCACCACCAGAGCCCCTTTATCATAATAAAGAGACTGATAATATCAAGTTAATAAAACATCTTTAAATAAGTGAATTTCTCTTTCTTCTAGCACAAATCATTATGCTGATCTTCTCATCAATGAAGATGTAGGCATGCACCAAAACCAGAGGGTGGGGGTAGAATGAACACATTTTTTCACACCATATTGTATTCAGGGCTTGAGCTAAGATATCCAGTATAAAGTATGCTGTCCCTTCCACTTACCCCTTGACTAGTTCAACTGCAATGAAGTCATTGCCATCACCACTATTGAAGAGAATGAAGCCATCAGCTGAGGTGGTCTTAAACTGGAAGAAGAGGTGCATGGAGGTGTAGGCCTGGAGGGTGGCCAGGCTCAGGTAACTGCTCTTGGTCTTGAAGGTGACAGGGTCAGCAATGATGTTCCTCAGTCCAAAACGAGCCTTCAGCTCACAGTAATCAATGTCGCCATTTTTGCACAGGTCAATGTAGAGCAGACCGTTAAACATGAGGCTCTGCAGGTGGCCAATGAAACTGGAGGGGACAACGGAGATATAACGCTTCTCGGTCATGATACCAGTTTCAATATTGTGGAACTCCAAGCGGGTATGGTCACCCACCATCGTACCTATGAAAATCATAAATGAGGTATAAACAGGACAAATTGTCATGTTTGCTCATACTATATCTTGGTCCAACTTGTTTCTGCACATGATATTCAGTTCTCCTTGAGGCAGTTCCAGGAAAAAAAAAAAAAAAAAATCGTGTATATACCTGACTTGACCTCTGTTGGAGAGGTGAGTACTGACTCAGTCCAAGTTATATGGCCTATATCCCATGCTATAATGGAGCCATTCAAAAGTCTCATCACATACAGAAAAGTGTGAGATGATGAGTACTTCATCAAAGGATAAAATTATTAGTGTTTCCATTCAGGAAAACAACTGGGCACTAATGTATACAATAAGAAGAAAAATCTTTGTTGTCCTAATTCTTGAAGAGACAACAAACAACCTATATTCATTCAACTTCATTATCAAACACTACCAAATATTGCTTGCTGTAATAACTTACTACCTAGTCCTTGTGGAAAGGTTATACTGTAGAATGTCTATTGATTTTACTTGGCCAACAACTGTTACTTTTTCTGATAATAACACCTACTTTTCCTTTGGGAAGGAGCTCTGGTGTCACTGTTGTTAAAAGACTGGGCTGCTAACTGAAAAGTCAGTGGTTCAAACACACTAGTTGTTCTGCCAGAGAAAGATGAAGCAATCTGCTTCCATAAGGATTTACAGCCTTGGAAACCCTATGAGACAGTTCCACTCTGTCCTATAGTGGGCTATGAGCTGGAATTTTGGGGGTTGCCTTTGGGAAAATGCCCCTATGCCCTTCAGCTTGAAACCATCTTGGCTGGGTGAAGCTAAGCTTTGCTAGGGAAATCAAGTTATACCCAGAAAAGACCACTTAATGTATTTTCTCTCTTCAGCCATAAAATTTTGTCTAAGGATTAAGAAAATGATCTTCAAACTTCAGTTTTCATCAGAATCACCTGGAGGGCTTATTAAAACATAGATTGCTGGGCACCAGCCGTACAGTTGCTGAAGCCTGAGAATTTACATTTCTAACAAGTCCCTAGATGATGCTTGTGATGCTGATCTAAGGGGCCATAGTTTGTGAACTACTGGATTAGTGCACAACCCAAAAGGAGCCAGTAATATTCAAATCCAGAGTTTTTGCAGGAACAGTTGTAAGAAAAATATCCTCTGCAAGCAAGACCACGAAGGGATAAGAAGAAAGCCTAGTGCTGCTAGGGGTCATTCAGTGATCTGAGCAATTAAGTCTGCCTGAGGAAAAGCCAACTCAGAAGACAACAAAGAATTGGAGAAAAACAGTTTTTATGTGAAGGTGTTGCCTAAGGGTACGGATCAGTCAGCTGACTTTGATTTTAAAATATGTTGTTGTTGTTGCTAGGGGCCATTGAGTTGTCTCCGACTTATAGAAACCCTATGCACAGCAGAACTAAACTCTGCCTGGTCTTGTGCCAGCCTTATGATCCTTGCTATATCTGAGCCCATCGTTGCAGCCACTCTGTCTCTCCTTCTCATTGAGGGCCTTCCCCTTCTTTGTTGACCCTCCGCTTTACCAAGCATGATATCCTTCTCCAGGGAATGCTTCCTTCTAACAACATGACCAAAGTAGTGAGACAAAGTCTGACCATTCTCTCCTCGAAGGAGCATTCCAGCTGCACTTCTTCCAGGAGAGATTAGCAGACAATGGTACTTTTAGCATTCTTCTCCAACACCCCAATTCAAAAGCATCTGCTCTTCTTTGGTCCTCCTCATTCATTGTCCAGCACTCACATGCATAAGAGGTGATTGAAAATACTATGGCTTGGATTAGGCTCACCTTAGTCTTCAAGGGGGTATCTTTGCTCTTCAGCACTTGAAAGAGGTCTTTTACAGCAGATTTGCCCAACGCACTAGATTGTCTGATGTCTTGACTGCTACTTCCATTGGTGCTGATTGCAGAACCAAGTCATACGAAATTCTTGACAACTTCACCCTTTTCTCCATCCACCGTGAAGCTGTTTATTGAACCAGTTGTGAAGATTTTGGTTTTCTTTATATTGAGGTATAATCCATGCTGCAGGCTGTAGTCTTTAATCTTCATCAGTAAATGCTTCAAGTCATCCTCACTTTCAGCAAGCAAAATTGTGTCATCTGCATATTACAGGTTGTTAATGAGTCTTCCTCCAATTCTGATGTCACGTTCTTCTTCATATAATCCAGCTTCTCAGATTATTTGTTCAGCATACAATTTGAATAAGTATGGTGAAAGTATACAACCCTGGCTCATTCCCTTCTTGATTTTAAACCATGCAGTGCCTCCTTGTTCTGTTTGAATAATAGCCTCCTGGTCTATGTACAGGTTCCTCATGAGTACAATCAAGTGTTCTGGAATTCCCATTCTTCTCAATGGTATCAGAATTTGTTATGATCCACACAATCGAATACTTTTGCATAGTCAATTAAACATAAATAAACATCTTTCTGGTATTCTTTGCTTTCAGCTAAGATCCATCTGACATCAGCAATGATATCCCTCATTCCACATCCTCTTCTGAATCCAACTTGCGTCTCTGGAAACCCTCTGTCAATATACTGCTGCAACCGCTTTTTAATTATCTTCAGTAAAATTTTCCTTGCATGTGATATTAATGATATTGTTCGATAATTCCCATATTCTGTGGCATCACCTTTTTTTTGGAATGGGTACAAATATGGATCTTTTCCAGTCAGTTGGCCAGGTAGCTGTCTTCCAAATCTCATGGCATAACCGAGTGAGTGCCTCCAGTAGGTCATCCGTTCGTTGAAACATCTCAATTGGTATTCCGTTAAAAATATATATGGCATTAAATTCCATTTTTTTGCTTAAAATCATTAAAGTTGGGTTTCTGACACTTGCTTCTGATAGATCACCAACTAACACAAATGAACTTTGTAGACCTTTCCTAACCTAGTTTATCTGGAAGTGGCAAGGGAGTGACTGGGGCAGGAGTTAGAAGGAAGGCTTGAAACGAAAGCAAGATGACTGGAAATTCTAACAACAAAATCATCTGGATGGCTGAGCTTGACTCCTTCAACATTTATGTAGGTAAATCATAATAAATTTTAACACATTATGCCCTAATGTTACAGGAAGGGGAAAGAAATTCCACCTCCTTCACTTCTCCTGTTACTTATTTCCTTCCACATGTATGAAACTTTCCTAACAAGGACTTCTAACATCTTTTCAGAGAGCCTTCATAGCTCAGCCCCTGGCACTTCCTGTTTCTCTTTGGGAAGTGGGGGGTGCCTTTCAGAAACTCTGGTTCTACTCTACTATCCCATAGCTTAGGTATCATAGAAATAAACTTTGCTTTTCTGAAGGGTGTTCACCCCAATCCCAAGCTGGTGTCTGGATGAGCACTTCTAATTCTGAAGTTCAGTATATGTAAGCCACACTTTTCAATATTAGTATTATCACTGATAGAATTAATATTTTGATGCCATCTGCCAAACTTTATTTTTTCTTCTAAATTGGGTCCGAACTCAAAAAAAAAAAAAAAAAAAAAAAAAATTAAATGAGAGGAGAAGAAGGGGTTATTTTTGTTAAATATCAAAATCTAGGAGATTCAACCAACTCACATTCTTGGATGTCCAATATTAATTTCACCTCGTTTAGGATAAATGCAGACCCAATTCAAAGAATCACTTACAAGAACAAAAATTAGACTAACATTCTGTGAGATTTAGCATGGTATTTTGACAACTAAGTACAAATCATTCTCTTAATATAAGCAAAAAATGAAATAATGATGTTGGTTAACTTAAAGAAAAAAAATGTAGTAAAACAAAAATTGAACGGCAACATAAATCTGCTAACAATTGAATAACGTGGAAAAAGAATTACTGTGTAAAATTACTTAGTATTGCAAATTGGTCTGGCTATGAAAATGCAAAGTAGCATAACCTAATCTGCATGCTTTCAAGAATGAAATGACTGAAATAAACACCAAGGTTAATTTGACTACAGCAGCTAATACTAGGGATGGGGTCTGCAGCTGGAGAATGGTGGGAAGGGTAAATCATAGCCAATCTAATGGGGACAGAGAGATTGAACTATAATGATGCTGAGAGGTTAACTCCGACTTTGAAAAGAAAAATAAATAAATTAATAATCAACAATGAGAACTAAGTAGTGAGAATGGTGTGATCACTGATGAAGTTTAGGATTCCAAAGTGCATCTGAAGGGGCTATGTTAAAGCAAGCTATTTTAAAGTAAACTTTTACATGATTGTAGTGTCGGAGTTCAGAGAAATTATGATAAACATACCTTAAGAATCGAGGGGTTAAGACATTCTGTTCACTAGAAAATGAATTTCAGAAATCAAAGAAAAAAAAAAAAGGAAGTAAGGTGTTGATTGTGACAGAAAAACCAAGCAAGCTCTTTGATACTCAGGGGACAGGGCTTTGAACCAGTTCATTAGGATTCGACCCCCTGCAGAGAATTTGCATTCCTACCCCACATATACTGAATTAGAATCAACATTTTAACAAGACCCCCAGGCATGGGTATCTGTATTAATCACCAGAAGATCGTGCTAAAATGTGGATTCCGATTGAGTACCTCTGGGATGGAAATGCAAATTTCCAACAGGGGGTTGAACTGGTTTGAAACCCTGGGAGGAAAGGAGAAGCTGATGATTGAATTTGAGGACCTAGCCCCGGGACACAGACTGGATTGAGGTTTAAAGTGATTCTGAGAGACTGGGGTAAATAAAGGAAAGGGGTGATGAAAGGGAGGTAAGACCAAACTAGAGAAACTCACGAAGTTTTCAAAAGAGGCATGGTATTACACTTCTGTACTGTAAAAGGATTCGGGCAAAGCATGAAATGAATTGTTTAAATTTTGAAACATGTGCCAAGCTAACAAAATACAGTTAAGAAACCTTGAGTGTTACCTAATCAATATTAATAGACAGGTACCTTTTCACTCGTATCCCCTGAATGCTATATTTAGCCTAACACTCCTTTCAATTAAAGGGCTAATATAGGCTTATTTATGGCAGTTGCTTTAATACT